AGGTCCCTCAGCTCCTTGTCTGGGGACCAGTGACACAGCAGTAGCGGCTGAGCAGGGATGCAGAGGAAGACACAGAAGGGCAGGCACAGGAACTGGGCTCCCAGAGGCCTCTGTGGATTGTCAGCATTTTCCCGGGGTGGTTGGCATCCTGCTGGGGGTGGTGGTCTCTGTCTTCTGCTCTCACAGGCTGAGAGCAGGTATCTCCTTTTCCTCGCTGAGCCGTCCTAGCACATCTCTGCATCCTCGCCCAGGTGCTGTGACTATGTGGGAGGCATGTGGGACCTCCACAGCCTGGGGGCAGGGACTGAGCCGTGGAGAGGGCATGGTCTGGCCGAATCGAGGATCTCACGAGGCCAAATTTGTAGTGGCCTGTAAATTTACTAGAGGCCCAGTGCGCGGATTTGTGCACTGGTGGGGTCCCTCAGCCTGGCTTATGGGGATCAGTGGACCTCCTCACTGCTGCAGCCCAACCTTACCCACCAGCTCATTGGGCTCTAGCCTGCTGATTGCCTCGATCCCACACAGCACAAAGAAGTAGTGTGCGAAGCTGCAGGTGGCTGGGGAGGAGCTGCAGGGGGAGTGTCTGAGGGAGAGGCTTCTGCCTCTGATGCAGCTGAGCTCCCCATGAGCTGGCCAGGGGTCTTCTGGTGCCTGTCTGTCATCTGAGCCACACTCCTGCTATGGGAGCACACTGACCACCAGGGGGCAGCTCCTGCATTAAGTGTTTGCGCCCTGGTGATCAGATTGCTTCATAGTGACCGGCTGGTCCACCAATGATCCAGTTGCTTAGACTTTTATATATATACTAGAGGCCCAGTGCACAAAAATTTGTGCACTGGGGTGGGGGGGGGGTGGATCCCTCCGCCCGGCCTGTGCCCTCTTGCAGTCTGGGACCCCTCGGGAGATAACGACCTGCTGGCTTAGGCCTGCTCCCAGGTGGCAGAGGGCAGGCCCAATCTCTAGGTGCAGCCTGTGGTCTGGCTCACAGCCAATTGGGGAGTTGGGGCGCCACCCCCTGTCATACACAGAAATGAGACC